ATGCACAGCAAGAGGTTCCTGATGAACTACCATGCAAACGAAAGCGGGTTACTAAAACCCCTTGTACCTTGGACAGTTACGTTGTGCATACTTCACTGGGCCATAGAGACAAGAGCGAAGATGAAACACATACTGAAACATCAAAATCCTCTGCATGGAAAATGCAACAGCATCTCTATCTTCCTGTGTTGGATGCTGTGATCTGTGAGCTTGACAGGCGTTTCACAGGAGAAGCCACTGACCTTGCAAAAGCATGTGACGCAGTGTTTAAATGTGAGAAAGGAGGAATTGATCATCTTCTAAAGAAGTATGCTGAACAACTGTGCATTCACCCACTTCTGGTGAGAGCAGAGATAGACCTTGTGAAGGCCTCTGCCACTGTGACTCCTGTTGCATTCACACATTTTCAGAATACTGTGAAAAAGGACACATATCCAAATTTGTACAAACTTCTTCAGCTGGCACTGACCCTCCCGGTTGGGTCAGCAACATCAGAGCGGAGTTCCTCTTCAGGAACTCGAGCTGCGTCGGAAACGCTAGGGGAACGCCCTTCAGCATGACGGGCTCTGAACCTCGTGTGTAATCAGACCAATAGATGGGCGAGACGTCACGGCGGGTGACGTAATGACCTGGAAGCTATAAAAGCACGTGCGGTGAGACCAACGTCAGCTTTTTGTGATTCAGCAAGCGCTCTGTGTGTGTGTCAGTTGTGAGTCTTATTTGGTGTTGTCTGTCCCGTAGAAAGAAACAAAAAAATAAAAGAAAGAATTATGTCTAAAGCACATGAAAAGAAACACCATCTGAGTAAGGGCGAAGGCAGCCAGCGTTTCAAACTGTGTGTTCCTCCCTGCCCGCGTTTCATTACGGGTGCGGATACACACAGTTTGTGCGTTGTCTGCCTGGGAGCGGAGCATGCTGAGTCTCTTGAGAGAGCTGACTGCCCGCATTGCGAGCGTCTTCCGATGCATGTTCTCCGCTCCCGGAAGGCACTCTTTGCTGAGGGTGCCTTCGCAAGCGTTCCCCGCGGCGCGGGTCCCGCTGCCGCCGAGGCGCAGCGGCGATTGCGCTCGTGGGGTTCGCAGCTGGAACTGGCGGAGGGAATGGAGACGGGCGAGTCCCTATCTTCTTCCTCACCCGCCAGATCCAGCGCTCGCTCAC